ACACCTGGTGAGTCTTTACCTGCAGGTAAAGCACCTGACCTGGCGCCTGGCTCTCCGTGAGCTGGCACCCCACCTGCCCTTGTCTTCCCTGTCCGCCCTCCCGCCTGTGGCCGCCGCAGCCAACGGAGGCGCTTGCTGCCCCCCTCCCTGCCCCAGCCGAGCCCGCCAGCCACCGCCCCGTTCCGGGGCCTGCCCTCCTGCAAAGCCCCCACCCTGCTCTTGAAGTAACTGTCCTTCAGCGCTTTGTTTGGAGTTGGATTGTGTCCCTTCAGCGAAGATACGTTGGCATCCTGACCCCCAGAACTTGAGAATTATTTGGAAATAGGGTTGTTACCGAGTGGGGAGCGAGGCCGTTTCATGGGTGTGGACTCCCGCAATCTCGGGGGCCCCACCTCGAGCTCGGGGCTCCGTGCTCTGTGGTCACCATTTTGAAATTCTTCATAATTTCATCTTTGAACCTGTGTTTGGTACGTGAAGTCTGACGGGCCCTTGGCTCACGGATGCTCCCACCTTCCGCTGCCTCCCGCCTCCCGGGCACAGGTTCCAGACCGCTCCATCCTCCTCTCTTGGTGTCCCTAGTGTCCAGCTCCGATGGGCCTCCTGTCCCTACGCCCTGGGTGTTGGGACGTGTGAGACTGGCCGTGTCTCAGGGTGGACACGGTGCGGGGGGCGCAGCTGGTGGGACAGGAACCCAGCAGCGGTGGGGCTGCTCATCGGCTGACTCTCCGGGTAGGACCCCGGGCCGGGGTGAAGGTCGGCGTTCACCCTGTGCCCAACACAGCGGGACATTCAGCAGCCAACAAGACACCATGCAGGCCAAGAGAGAGCCGTGGAAAAAAGGGGAAGGCTTGTATACTGTAGCACCTCCACAAGCCCCAAATTTTCATTTTGTGCTGGGCCTCTGGGCTGCTGTGGCTGGCCCTGCTTGGGAGCCATGGAGAGCCACGGGGAGATGCCCCAATGCAGAAATAGTGCACGGATCCATCATCTGCAGCCTGAGGCCACTCCTGGTGGCTTGGAGCTGTCACGCTCCCTGGGGAGGGGCGGTCTGGCCGCCGGACCACACCCCGCTTGCAGGGTCAGCCAGGCTGCTCCTTGCAGAGATGGGGGTGCATGTGTGAGCGTGGACGTCGGCGATTCCACAGCTCTTGGCACGGGCACCACCAGCCTGGCGTGCCCCCCCCCCCCCACTGGGTGCGTTTCTGAGGACACTTTGGCGGGATACGGGAATGGGGGGGAGTTTCAAGAGAGGAAGTGAGACTGTATCGTGGATAGCGCAGAGCTTTGGTCTCCCGTGATGACGTTTCTTTAAATCCTGGCAAACAGAAGCTGTTCTGCAGTCGTTGACCCCCTACATCCACCGCCAGTACCATCGCCCCATCCTGGGTTGTACTGCCCCCCCCCCGGATGCCCATAGGGCTGTTCTTTCCCCACACACCTGATTTCTCCTCGTACCAAGGGCACTGGAGCCCGGGATCCCATGCACACGGGACCCTTAAACATTTGGGGTCAGGGATGTGTCATGCTGTGCCTTCCCCCAAAGCACTGTGTGTGGGCTGAGCCTTGTCCCCCAAATCCACATGCTGAAGCCCTAACCCCCAATGGGACTCTCTCTGGAAATAGGGTTTCTAGGAGGTAATTATGCGTGAACCATGTCCCGAGCTGATAAGATGTAGCTTTATAAGAAGAGGAAGAGAGCTCTCCGCCATGTGGAGTCACAGGGAGAAGGTGGTGGCCCACAAACCAGGAGGGGGCTCCCCAGAACCTCGATCTCAGACTTCCAGCCTCCAGGGCTGTGAGATACAAGTTCCTGCTGTTTCAGCCGCCCTGTCTGTGCTGCTTTGTTCTGGCAGCCAGAGAGGACCGACACCTGCTGCCACCCTCTCTCTGTGCTTCAGACCATCGGCTGGGGCAACACGAGCTTCTAGAATCATCTGAAGCATCCCGGGGAAGCCGCTGGTGGGACCCGGGAGCACTTCCTCAGCCCGAAGCCACATCTGTTTTGACTGCTTCTAAACATGAAGTTGTCCCTGGGAAGCCAGGCCCGTGGGGTGACTCGCCCGTGGCCCCAGTGAGTCAGTGAGAAAGCCAGGCTTCTGTTCGTCACTTGGGCACCCTCTCCCTGCAAGGGGCCAACCACCATTTTGAAAGGGAGTCACGAAGACCTCACGATATCATTCCCTAGGAACAAATATTTAAATACAGGAAAACAACTCCAGCATGAATAGCTAAAGCCAGGAAATATTCAGAGGTGACATTTGCACACCGGGATGTCTAATTTGTTTGCTCTGTTGATCAGAGCAGAAAAAGTTTCTGTGAGAATATTCGTGTATTCATAAGCAGTGGTAGAAACAAATGGATCATTGTCACATGTACATCTTGTAGTGAAAAAGAAAAAGTCTGTTTCATGTCAGGTGGCCTAGGATCCTGTTTTCTTCGTGTGCCCCTCCGCTGTGTGGCATCCAAAGGCAGGGTGGAGAAGAGACACTATGGCTGGGACTTCGAAAATACTCCCGCTCAGAAAAATACTGTCTCTGATGAGGAGCAGCCTCGTTCACAAGCATGGGGAGCTTGCATGCTGACCACAGAAAGGCAGAGCCGTGGTCATGCTGTAGTGTGTCTCCCGGGAGAGGCTTAGAAGACCTGTGTGCCAGCCAGCCATTGTTAGCTCTGGGAACGTTCTGCCCTGTGGTCAGTGCCCTGGCTGTGAGCCAGTCAAGGTGTTCGGGGAAGCAGAGCTGGACGCTGGTTAAAGGCTAAGGGCAGATTTTATTCAGAAAGAGCTGAGCTCAACTCTGAACGCAGGCGGAGTCGGGATTTACGGCCAAAGGAAAGGGTGGGGTGGGGTCGGTGGATGGAAAGCCACTAAGAGGAAACCCCAAGGGCAGGGGATTGTTGCTGAAGGTAAGCCACGGCGATCATTTCAAGGACTGGCTTAGCAGGCAGCGGACAGGGTCCGGGGACCCACCCTAGGCAAGAGAGGGCTCGGGGGAACCTCAGGGGAGTCTGATCATTATACAGGAGGACATGCAGAAAAGACTATGCTTCAGTTCGGGTGAGGACTGGATGATAGGGCAGAATGTAGGTCACAGACTGTTTAGAGTGGTGGCGGAGGGCGGGGGAAGGGCAGAGGCAAGAAGGCCCTCCCGTGGCTGATCACAAGCATCAGGAGTGGGAACGCTGTCCAGCCTGGCCGTGATTATCTAGGGCACGTGAAGCCGATTAGCAGATGCCTGGAAGGAAGTCTAGTATGAACGGACCTGAAGCGTCCCAGCCAGGATTCGTGGCACCAAATCCTGGTTCTGGGACTCTGCGTTAGGTGGAGGAAGGTGTGTAGGAGACTCAGTTCCAGCAGAGGCAGGGGAGGGTGCTGGGCCCCCTCCTGCCTCTCAGGCCCCTGAAACCCCTTCCCACCTTAAGGAGTGGCCAGTGGGATGGGGTAGTGGGTCAGTGAACAGGCTCACGTGACAGGAAGGGCCCTTGAAGACTGGTGGAGCAGGTGAATGAGCTGGACTGGACTGGGGTCCCTTGCTTCCCCAAGAGCTCTTGAGGGCAGGTCCCCTGCACACGCACACGCACACGCACACGCACACACTCAGAGCAGCCATGGAAGGGTCCCCTGGGGAGGAAACGTGTTCCTCCGGATCTCCCCTCCCTGGAGGAATGCCCAGACTTCACCCATGGTTGCAGGAAGGCTCCCGCAGGGGTACACAGTATTTATACAAATAGCTGGAAATTGCCCCTGTGGGAGGGTGTCACTAAAAGAAATGTCCTCTCTTTTGCTCACTGTTGAGATAAAAGGAAAAAGGCCAAACATCAAAATAGTCTTGATGACATTTAGAATTTAGAGGCATTGCGTTCTGCCTGAGTTTTGACAAAAGTCGGACCTCCACATGCAAGGGTCCCCCCCCAACTTTTTTCTCCCGGTCGCCTATAAGTTCCCCAGGTCTTACAATCCCACAGCAAATCGAGGCTTTGGCAGCGCGGTGCTGGGAACAGCATGGGCCCGACAGCACCTCCGCGGGGCCCTGCGCCCACCCAGGCGAGCTGGCCCCACCCGCGGTGCAGGTGCGTCGGCGGTGCGTGGGCGGTCCGCGAATTGCCGCCTCACGGTGAGGGCCCGCCGGAGGGGACAGAGGCCGGCGTCCAAGGGCAGGCCGGGGTCCCGCCCTTATTTACATGTTTGATGTTTTGTGCATCGTGAAGTTCTTGCATTGATTTTGAAGTTTTTAAAATAATGCAGTAAAATGTGACTTATCTTGATCACTGAGTTTTTTGGCGCTAAATCCCTTAAATCTGCGCCCCGCCCGAGTGTCTCACCCGCCGCTTCCCCGTACCTGCGCAGGCAGGAGCGGAAATTACTTTGCTCGCGGCTGGATCCCCAGGGCCTCCAGAGCGCCTGGAACATTAATACTGTCACCTGTTGGTCGACGGGACGCTTGGGGCAGGAGCGCGGGGTGCGGAGAGCGCAAGGAGTGGGGACCCGGGGCGCAGGGGGGCGCGGGGCGTGTCGGGGCGCAGAGATGGGCGGGGCGGGTTCCGGGAGGGGGCGACTGCGCAGCCGGGCTGCGGGCGCTGTGTGAGGAGGGACCGGGCGGAGAGCAGGCGGAGATCCCGGGAGGGCGTGGTGGGCGGAGGCGCCGGGGCGGGCCCCGCAGCTCCGCCTCCTGGAGGCGGGAGCCGCTGCAGACGCCGCTGCTTCTGGGTCGCAGGTGTTTGTGAGTGTCCCTCCACCCACCAGTGCGCACGCCCCCTGCCCCAGCGAAAGGCCGAGGCCCGGGCGGAAGAGCGGGTGGGCCCCAGGTCCAGGCACGTCCCGGGCGGCATTGCCGCCCGCCCGTAGGTGACCATCTCTCTTCATTCCCCGCCCCCCCCCCCCCCCCCCGGGGTCCCCCGCCCGCAGGTGTCCGCCCCCGCAGGTGTCCGTCCCACGCAGGAGTCTGCACTCGCGCCCACCGCCGCCCCCCGCCCCCCGCAGGTGTCCCCCCCTCCACCCGGCCATGGTGGACGTCCTGGGCGGCCGGCGTCTGCTGACCCGCGACGGCGCGTGGGTGGAGGCCGAGGCCGCGCTGCAGAACAAGGTGGTGGCGCTGTACTTCGCCGCGGGCCGGTGCGCGTCCAGCCGCGACTTCGCGCCGCTGCTCTGTCGCTTCTACGCCGAGCTGGTGGCCGAGGCGCGGTCCGCCGCGCCCTTCGAGGTGGTGTTCGTGTCGGCCGACGGCAGCGAACGGGAAATGCTGGACTTCATGCGCGAGCTGCACGGCGCCTGGCTGGCGCTGCCCTTCCACGACCCCCTCCGGCAGTGAGTGGGACGGGGCTGGGCGGCCGCGCGCAGCTGGTCCCCGACCCCGGGCGGGCCTCTCCCGCGTCCCTCGTGCTCCCGGCTCCAGCCTCCCAGCCGCTCCAGCCTCCCAGCCGCTCCAGCCTCCCAGCCGCTCCAGCGGGGCTGCCACCTGCCCCTGGGCTTGGCGAACCTTGCCTCGGCGGGTCTCCGGTTTCCAGCCAGCCCGGCTGCTGAGGCTGCTGCGGCGGCGGAGTCCACCCGCGGAGGGGCTTCGGGGAGGAGTGTGGAAGCGGGAGAGGGAGCCTCTGGAGGCTTGGGGCGGAACTGGGGACCCTGCGTGCGCTGCCGTCAGGGGGCTGGGGGCCATGTGCGGGGTGGGGGAGGGCGGCAGGGACTCCAAGGCTGGAGGAAGCCCCTCCTTGCTGGCCCGGGTGCGGTTCTACTGGAATTTCCCAACTGTAGGAAGAACCAGGCCCTTGGACTCCAAAGGAGTTAAGGACAGAGGCCACGAAAATCCACCAAGGGGAGGGTGGAGAAGGTGGGAGGGGTGAGGAGGGGGGACCTGAGTGGGGAGGAGGAAGGATGGGGTGGGGAGGAGGGAGGAGGTGGGAGGGAGGAGGTGGGAGGGAGGAGGGAGGACAGAGG